TACATATATCACGTCGTCATACCTATGTCACTTGGGTTTGAGAAAGAAATTAAATTTTTTGAAAAATTGAGGCGTTTTGTTTCATGAGGTATTTTTCTAGGCGAAAGATCATTTTCCGATGTAAACATGAGTGATGGAGGAAAAGGTAGCCTTTTCTTCCTTTCTTTCTATGGTGTGAGAAAATGAAAGAAGAAGGAAAACATTTTTACGTCTTCCTGTTTCTTTATACTTAAAAATAGATACTTCTGCTAATAGTTTTCGGAATTGTCAGAGTACGAGTGAGGGTGATTATCATGTCATTAGCAGTGCCAATTGTTCTTGTTTTTGTGTCCTTTGATCATATTTGTTATTGTATTTCGTCCGATGCACAGTATCACTAAAAATGGAAGCAGAAAAGCCCGGTAGCACGTATATAGAAATTACTATCTGATTTTATTTGGAAGTGGTTTTAGATATTGGGTGGTTTTAAGATATTTTTTGAAGGTTTTTTTCGGATTAACATTTGGATGAGGTTTTCGGTTAGACGGTTGGCAAAAACAGGATGAACGTCGGTGAGGGAAGTGTTTTCAAATGTCTCGGTCCACATTTGGTAAAATTTCGGACCAAAGCGTGAAATGGAAGGCACATATGAAAAATGGATAAGGAGCTCTTTTTGCGGATTAATTTGTTTGCGTGGTAGTCGGCTACCCGTCCAGTTTAGATCTCTCACGTTAGTCCGGCAGTAGTCATATGTGTTTTGGTCTCGAATAGAGAATCAAGGTTACGTAAGCGGATATCTTTGACAAAGCGGTCGAAATGGGCGTCTATGAACTTGAATCGGTAGCCATTGAGTAGAAGTCTAATTCGAATATTGAATACCTCTGTTTTGCAGTCTTCAGATTGTGAACAGATGCGTAGCGCTCGGAGAATTGCAGCATAAGGTATATTTTGTTTTATATGGATAGGATGTGATGAGTCAAAAGGTAATATGTATGGTTGGGCTGCGGGTTTTCGGAGAACGGTCGTGCCGAAACGGTTATTAGGGGGATCTTTAAGAACTGTTACGTCCAAATAGTCAACTGAGTCTCTGGTCTCGTAGGTTAGTCTTATGTACGGATCTTCAGAGTCAAGTTTTTTGAGGATGTCGACAAAGTCGAAAATGGGTCGTTTTGTAGTCAGGTGAATGTCGTCTCGAAATCTACCATAAATTTCTTTTTCGTCTAATTGCATTGCTAGAATGTCACTTTCCCACTCCATCATATAAACATCGGCTAGTACTTGAGTCACTGCTGACCCCATCGCACCACCTTTAATTTGTTTGTAATATTTTTTGCCTAATGCGAAAAATGCATTGTTGAGTATGAAACGTAACAATCTAGCAAGGGTGTCGATCGAAATACCGTCTATTTATGATTTTTTGTTTTTGAAAGAAGCCGACAAATTGCAGAAACAGACTGTTTTTGAGGGATCATAGTGTATAAGTCAGTAATGTCAAAGGTGAACTGTCGGGTCGTCGGGGTCACGGTGTAGCTGTCAAGATGGTCTAGGAACTGGAGAGAGTTTTCTAACGTATAGTGTGCAGTGGCTTTATTAACGAGGGGACGGAGTTTTTGATCAAGAAAGCTTGAAAGTTTGGCTGTAGACGATTTAATCCCGGCTACTATTGGACGCAGAGGCTCACCAATTTTGTGGTCTTTTGGGTTGTAATATAGATGTGGTAGTTCGCACTCACCTAGAGAGGGTATGAGTTTCTCATACTGGTTCTGGGTGGTACGTTTCTGTCGAAGAAATAGTCTTAAGAGCTCGTCTAATTCAGAAACGGTGTGCTGGAGAGGATTTCTTCATACGCATTAGTTTTCTCCATATAGGCATCTGATTTGATTTGGTATGCAGTTGGAGTATCCAAGTGGAATATTTTTGACTTACCAGTTTTTCGAAATACGACTCTGTCCTGAGATTGTTGTTTCTGGAGGGTTCTAATAGCTTCGGAAAGATGTGGATCATAACGCTGCTTGGAGATTTGCTCTCTCAACTCAAAATCTACTCTATCGGTAAAAGAATCAACTACTGGGCGAGGAATATCGGGAGCTCGGATTTCTTCGTTGAAGCGAGTTTGAATTTTCTGGCGCATAGTCTCAATCTCAGAGGTGAGGCGACGAACCGCTGTTATCGGATTAGGTGGAACATACGCTGGACCTTTATTTAGTACCTGACGCTGATGGCTGTCTAGATTAATGGCGTAATTTTTAATTTGAGGCGGGAAACTGATAGTGGTGTAGTGGGGATGGACTTTTGATTTTACATAAGGCTCTATAAGGTTTACGGTGGAGGTTGCTTTTTTGCACTTTTCTCTAAAAAATGAACTTTGTTGAGGGTCTTTTGTTCGTTCCTCTTTGAAAGATTTGACAGGATAATGTCGATGTGCACAAGAAAAAGGGGGTTAACGGGGGATATCAGCTTTTGACGAACGTTATGAATTTCTCTCTCAATTGCTTCTATCTCGAGGTTTTTAGTCAAAATCATACACTCGGTTAAAGTCAACTTTGTTTGCCGTAAGGTGTTATTCCAGCGTTCTATGATGGGAAAGACTTCGGGACAGTCGATCGGTAAATGCGTTTTTAGTGTAATGTCGAAAACATTCAGAGACGGTGGTGGAGCCTTCAAATTGAGTCGGGCTTCGAGCTTTGCCAGCTGTGCTTTTAATTCGTCACGTCTTTCTGTCAAGTCAAGCATCAGTCGAATATTCTTATCTTCGTCTTCCTTCCGGGGGATCGTCATCAAGCGGCCACGGTGCTTTTTTAGCGCTTGATCTATTACTAGGTTCTTAAGGCGCTTCTCATTGGTGGTGCGTAGAGGCTCTAGAAAACGATCAATGATATTTGTCTGCCAGGTATCCAGAATGTTTATCAGACCATCTACTTTTTCTTGCGGTGGCGATTCTTCAAAGATTAGGTCCTTAGCCATGACGGCGAGAGAGAGAGTGAGCGTGTGTGATAGCACGTGAAAAACGTTGAAAATTTTGTTGTACTCAGTTTTTAGGTTCTCAAAGTCGAATGGGATGTTTTCTTTCGTGAAATGATTAAAGACCTCGGTGACAAGTACCGGAAAGCGTCCTGGAAATGGGTCCTCAGTGAGTTTTTGTGTTATGACTTCATCATCCTCCATATCTGTCAGATTAGGTGTTTCAGGTTCGGGTTCTTCGGGGTTTGCAGCGTCGATATATTCATACTAACGATCAAGTTTCAGAGAGAAGTGTTCTTTTAGAAAACGTAGTTTTTGGAGGTGAAACAGAGTGGCTGGGTGGTGGTGGTAAATTGATAAGTACGGTTTCAGGCAGAAAATTATGCGGAAGCAAAGAAGTAGTGTTCTCGGGATATGCGCCTCGAAAAGGATCGTCTTCTACGACTGTGGGTGTATATGTGCGAAAAAATTGATGAAAGGCTCGAAGAATGATCTGGCGCCCTTCGAAGTTGGGGTGAACACCGTCGGCTAGCGTTCGTTTGTCAAGATCGAAGGACAGAGTTTTCAAATTTAGAGATGCTGCCAGGTCATCTAGTTTTTGGTTATATGCTTGGATTTCCTCGTGTAAAATCTTTTGCGAAAAATTGTGAAAAGCAGTGTTTTTTGTTCTGTACATGATCTTGACAAACGAGATGCTACCTTTTGTCGGGTAAAAACCGGCGCAAAGTCGTCACAAGCTCACTTACCCATTTTATAACAGTGTTCGCGGGGTTCTATGCAATATTGTTGGTGCCAATAACGAATGTGACGCCGTTGGTTTGCGCCAATAGATATTTCAGCTGGCCACTGGTGATTTGTTGGGTATAGTATCGTATACCAAAGCCGGAGTTGGATTTTATATGAATGTTGACCGTGTTGTTACTGAGTTGCGGCAGTCGGAATCGTGACATTGTTGAGTCTGATAACACGCGGTGTGCCTGTTCGCGTCCGCTTTGCTACCGGGAATGTCTGTATTTCTTCTAAGTTACCAATTGTTTGGCGAATTCGACGCAAGATTTGTGGCTTGCGAGAGCCTTGTTGCTTGTATTGCATTTGACGATCGGTTCGTGGTGACCGTGATGGAGAACAAAAATTTCTCCTAATAAAGGATTTCACAAAATTTCACTCTCCCTTTCAATAAACAATCAGAATAAAAGTATTTTCTCTCCTTTCTTATTCTTCCATCTGCATGAACATATCCCTATATAAACAGCCACTTTTTCGTCTATCAATCATCATTCTACAAACGAGCATTTACTGAAGAAGACATTTGAAACGCGTTTAAATTCTCGTATTTCCATTTTTTACATTTTTTTATATATATTCAACATTCGTCGTTATATTTTTTTAAAAACCATATATTTTTCTATTAAAACAAAACCAAAACATAACCAAAAAACATTATATTATTTAATCAAACATTTATCCAAGCAACGTCCGTATCTTGGTATGCTCGTTTGTAGAATGATGATTGATAGACGAAAACGTGGCTGTTTATATAGGGATATGTTCATGCAGATGGAAGAATAAGAAAGGAGAGAAAATACTTTTATTCTGATTGTTTATTGAAAGGGAGAGTGAAATTTTATGAAATCCTTTATTAGGAGAAATTTTTGTTCTCCATCACGGTCACCACGAACCAATCGTCAAATGCAATACAAGCAACAAGGCTCTCGCAAGCCACAAATCTTGCGTCGAATTCGCCAAACAATTGGTAACTTAGAAGAAATACAGACATTCCCGGTAGCAAAGCGGCCACGAACAAGCACACCGCATCCTACTTCACCACCACCATCACATCGCCACTTCGCACCAGTCATGGCATCATCGCCAGTCGTACTAAAGATACCAGCACCGCTAGTGCCAATAAGCGTATCACCACCACGCGGCATCACTGCATCGACCATCACACTACCACCCGTTATCCCTCGGGCACCACGTACAACCGCCAACATCCAACCATCAGTCACAACCAGCACAATGACATCAGCTCCGACAGTCCCGGCCACAGCGCCGGTATAGCAGCAACAAGTGCACACAACCAGCACCAAAAGTCAGAAACCACCATCATGGATGATACCAGTAAAAAATCGCACATCATCACCTGCAGATAGGCATCCCCCTATAAACAATAAACCTGCACATTTCGTTCCAGTGGAACAAATACCGACGGCTCACAAAGGTTTGATTTGTTTTTAGACACCCACCAAGACAACCGCTACCCAATACAGAATCCAACAAATGCCGACCAACAGTACTCCAACGCGCAACGACGTCCGGCCCCGCAAGTACAATCACAGTGCACAATTCCAGGCTCGAAACAAACTAAACCGTACGCACAACCAAACAACGCCCAACAGCATGCCGCTCTACCAATTACATTGTTGGTCGATAATCCATGCGGACAAAGCACCACTGCACAGCAGCATCAGAACACGACAACAATACCAACCACTAAATCGAATCATGTCATATTATCACACTCAACAATGTCACGATTCCGACTGCCGCAACTCAGTAACAACACGGTCAACATTCATATAAAATCCAACTCCGGCTTTGGTATACGATACTATACCCAACAAATCACCAGTGGCCAGCTGAAATATCTATTGGCGCAAACCAACGGCGTCACATTCGTTATTGGCACCAACAATATTGCATAGAACCCCGCGAACACTGTTATAAAATGGGTAAGTGAGCTTGTGACGACTTTGCGCCGGTTTTTACCCGACAAAAGGTAGCATCTCGTTTGTCAAGATCATGTACAGAACAAAAAACACTGCTTTTCACAATTTTTCGCAAAAGATTTTACACGAGGAAATCCAAGCATATAACCAAAAACTAGATGACCTGGCAGCATCTCTAAATTTGAAAACTCTGTCCTTCGATCTTGACAAACGAACGCTAGCCGACGGTCTTAGGAGAAATCGATATAACGAAAGGAAACAGACCTTCTAAACTAGAGAGTTTTGAGAATGCTTTCTTGAGAAAGCACATTTTTATTTTTTTCCTGGAAGTAATGTATTGTGTATTTTCATGATAGCTATCATTTAGGACGTCCTGCAGAGGAAAGAACAGTGTTTCAGAAAAGAAATCCCGTCCTCTTTCGAAAAAAGCCTGGACCACATGTTGTAGTAGGACACAAGTTGCAAATGAAACAGAAAAAGAAGTAAACTGTTCGAAGTAGGGTGAATGTGTTTGTGACGTTCATTTATAACCTGTAGGAAGAAAAAAACAAATTCATTTGAATACGAATTTGAATGCACGGTAAAAGAGATGTAATGACGCATCTCTCTTATATTTCCGTTATGCAGCCCTAATTAGACAACTTTCCTTTAGTTTTTCAAAACAGTTCATCACAGGAAACGACGATGAAGAAGAAAGTAAAAATCGTCGTCACTAAAAACGACTCTTTCACGGCTAAATATTTGCATTTGAAGCAAACCGAAAATCAAGAATTTACGCATTCCTTATTTTAAAAACTAGAATAAACAAAACGAATCAAAAGTTAAGTTAAGTATACAGACTTTTGCGCTGTGAATAAGAAGGCGGAAAAACGACAGATTCTTTACAACAAAAGTTGAATCAAACAGTGCCCATTGTGTACGTCGTTAAGTAATGTGGAATGACACCTTTTGCTTGATCCTTTCATAAATCAACCCGTTTTTCTGACGGTCAGCTCGACAATTCTTGTTATGTCTGTTTGCGATTTATAAAAGAGACTAAGCAAATAACGTCAATCATCACCGCAAAATTAGAAAAAAGCAAAATGTAAATTTGCTTGGAAAACAGAGTGAGACCCAGTTTTTAACACGAATTTGCCTTCACGGTGACAGTAAAAGTTGACGACAGAACTGCTTAAAATAATGTTCTTTCCTAGTGTTGCGACAAATCCCTTTCAAACAACGTCAAGTCCACAAACGTGTGACATCGAAAAACACAACATTTCACTGTGAATTCGGCAAGGAGTTTTCTACGTCCCGTTTACAATGCCGCCGTATGTATTTTTTTCTAAGTTACGTTGACGTTAAGAAACAGACGGGTAAGATAAGCTAGAACTGATTATGGAAATTCTGCCGCCCACTATAGACGTGTACCTCTGTGATGAATGAATGTGATCAAGAAAATGAAAAGCGCTTAATGCACTTCTTCCTGTGAGTGTCAGTGATATACTTTGTACACAGACACTATTTTACTGCACGTCCCGTTTAAAATACGAACAATAAAAACATAGACATCTTGAATCAGACACGTGTCTGTTGTATAAATCACATACAAAACGTATAGGTTCACTCGATTTTGGTCTAGCGCCTTACAAAATGCTTGTCTGTGTGTGTGCGCCAAACACAGAAAATGACTGTCATATATTCTATGAATAAGCCAATCACAGGAGAGAGAAACAGAAAGTTATTTTTTCCCAAGAGAGAAAATATTCGAAGGATGACCGAAATAATATTTAGTGATCCATGGAGAAAAAAAGCTTAGCAAACTTCTTCTGCAGTTGGGAGATAGATGTCGCCAGAAAGCAGTCAGTTCTGATAACACACACACAAAAAGTCATCTAGTGTTCTTTCCTAGTGTTGCGACAAATCCCTTTCAAACAACGTCAAGTTCACAAACGTGTGACATCGAAAAACACAACATTTCACTGTGAATTCGGCAAGGAGTTTATGTATTTTTTTCTAAGTTACGTTGACGTTAAGAAACAGACGGGTAAGATAAGCTAGGACTGATTATGGAAATTCTGCCGCCCACTGTAGACGGAGGCGAATTGTCCATGACATCATATTGTTACTCAAGAATGGAATTCTATTTCTTATAAATATCATCTATGTAAACCCAAAGTTATGTGTGAAAGAATGAAAACGAAAATTTTAAATAATCGAACACTATCACCTTTTCCAAAAGATTTGATGTTTTTGAGTAGGAAGGCGGAAATACAGTACATGAGATTGAAAACCGGAAATGTTGCTCTAAATGCTAATCTATTTAAGAGAAGATGTGTTGATTCTCCCTTGTGTGGTGTATGTCACGCAGATGAGACACTAACTCACTATATTAGTTTGGTTAAGCATTCGATGGGTAGAAGGAGGTACACTACCATTCCAGTGTTGAATAATAATAACAATGTAACTGTTACTGAGACACAAGAGAAAGTAGAAATATTGAATGAATTTTTTGCTGAAGTTTGCACTTGGCATGGGCCGACTGTTGATCCTAAAATTGCGGACAGCTTA